CTTAGATATAACATGTTATGCCAAAACTTCGTTACACAAAAGAGTAACTATTTCTGAAAAAAACCATATTCAGACAACTTCACAAATAGGTATAAGCTTAACGGCAAAAGGTGTAATTTGATGAATTTATCTGTTCACAAAAGGTATAAGTGAATTCCCGAAAAGGTTTAAAGTTGGCCTTCCCAAACGTGGTAAGTTCGAAGACAAAGGTATAATCTTTATGCCAAAAATTTCTACAAAAGAGTAACTTTTCAAAAAAACTTTAAGCACTTCCACCGAAGGTTATAAGCTTATGCAAAAGGTGGTAAATTTGATGCAATTTAATCTTTCAAAAAGGTATAATGACTTTGCGCAAAAAGCTTTAAGTGGCCTTCCACAACCGGTGTAAAGTTCGACGAAATAGATTATCTTATGCCGAAAATTCTACAACAAAAGAGTACACGTTTTTCAAAAAAATTAGTGCACTTCAACCAGCAGTATAAGCTTAGGGAAAAGGTGTAATTTTGAAATTTATTTTTCCACAAAAGGTATAACTACTGATCGAACAGACTGAGATCGAAGACTGGAGACGACTAGACACTAAAGACCGTTTTTATATAGAGCAACAGAGAGAGAGATAGAGAGAGAGACGAGAGAGATAGACTGAGTCAACAGACAGAGAAAACTCTGGATGGACACTGATCGACCAGCAGGGACGAAAATCGACAGAGATCGACCGAGAAGAGACCCACATGGACACCAAACAGCCAAGATCGCTGAGACGACGAGATAAACAGGGATCGACGAGAGAGACCGACATAGACACGAGAGACCAAAGATCGATGCCAATCTTTTCAAAACCTGATTTGCGGCGGCGGTGCCAGTGAGGTGCGATTTCAGAAGGCTGTGAGCACCGGAGCCCACCGAGGCTTGGGTGGTCAGCGGGGGTCCGACCCTTTGATTTGTTCAGTGGTTGTCTCAATTGGGTTTATGAACACTTCGAAATGTTACTCCTTCTGTGTTATACTTTCAGATGAACATATGTCTCACCCTTCTGTGTTTACGAACATTTTGAAATGAACCCTTTGTTACTCCTTTTCCTGGTTATCAACGCTTTGAAATGTTATCCTTCATACTTTTCGTGAAATGTTTTCTCCATTTTTAAAAAGTTACTGCTTTTGTGTAAGAATTGTTGGCTGAGATTTGTACTTTTTCTTTCGAACTTACACCTTTTGTGAAAGGCCAACTTAAACCTATTTCGGAAGCACTTATACCTTTTGTGAAAAAATTCATCAAATATTACCTTTTTTCTTAAGCTTTATACTTTTCGTGGAGTGCTTATATATTTTTTTAAAGAGTTACTCCTTTTGTAATGTAAAATTTTTGGCATAACATTTATACTTTGTGGTTATATACTCTTTCACAACAGGAAGTAAGTTTGAAAAAAAAGAAAGTATAAATCTTATGAGAAATTTTTCACAAAAGGAGTAACTTTTTCAAAAAAAAATATAAGCAGTTCCACGAAAAGGTATAAGCTGAAAGCAAAAAGGTTGTTAAATTTGATAATTTATTTTTTCACAAAAGGTATAAGTGACTTCCGAAAAGCTTTAAGTTGGGCTTCGACAAAAGGTGCATGTTCGAAGCAAAAGGTATAAATCTTATGCCAAAAATTCTTACACAAAAGGAGTAAGTGTTCATAAAAGGAGTAAGTGTTCATAAAATGTGTAAATGATTTATACTTTTCAGTAATCAGTTACGCCTTTTTCTGAAATTCCTTACGCCTTTCTTGAAAACTTATACTTTTCTTGTGACCATTTACACCTTTAGTCATATAATATATTATTTTATTAATTTACCTGGAAAGTGACCTGCTTAGCAGGTCACCAATGTGTAAGTTTCCAAATATTTTGATATAACCCAATACATATAAATGTGTAAATGCAAAATAGAAGGGTGTAAGTGCCTTGCATACCATATGCAAGGCACACATGAGAAAAGTCCTTAATTTTAAAATGGGACTTGATAGACTACAACTCTGTAAAATAGAAGTTTCTAATAATTTCCCCTTTATAATTTACCCATTTCTTTTTTCTTTAATTTATTCTTGGACAATTCCATGTAACAGTACTTGTCACTAAATATCTACGTATATATAGATATATAAATAAAATTATACCCACAAAAAATAAAAAAATAAAAAAAATTGAAGCTTAATTGCTAATCAATAAAAGGATACAAATTTAATGGTCCGTATAATTCTAAGGGTTGGTTTGGGAAATAGGTTGACTTTTTGACTTTTTTAACTTTTTTAGCTATTTTAGCCTAGGCTAAAAAGTCTGATTTGAGAAGAACTTTTTGACTTTTTGGTTTTTTTTGTGAGAGAATAGTGTAATTATTATGAATTGGATGTGATGTTTTATTTTTTGTGGCTAAAATAGCTTATTTTATCTTTTGTGGCCAAAATAGCCAAATTAGCCCTTCCCAAACATACCCTAAACCCTATTTCTTTATCTACCAAATCATCTAAATTTCAAATTTCAAAATTTTTAAAATAAGTAAACAACTATATAACTACAGAAAAATTAGAGTTTTAGCGGCGTTTTTAATACGCCGCTAAAAGCTTGAAAAAATCACAAAAAATTACGACGACGTTTAATATTTTCGTCACTGATACGACCACCGCAATAACTTTGCAACGTTTGAAAAACGTCACTAAAAATATTAGACAGCATTTTTTAAAACGCCGCAAAATCTTTAACATGTGTTTCAACTTCCAAGGATGTCATAATGACTTCATTTCACGTCATTTAGTGGCATTTTTTAAAAAACGTCACCCATTTTTTTGTCCCCGCAAAACTGGAATACCATGAGGCACATAAATGAATAGCAATTTGGCCTCCTAAAGAATTTCTGTTATTTGAATGTCATCTTCCAATCAAAGAACATAAAACTGAAGGCTACATTTCTGGTCTCAAAATTTCATCATGTAGAAAAATAAAAAATGTCATGTTACATGTAAGAGTAGTGTGCATCAAATACACACATATATGAAGCACCTTTTCCAATAGTTATGTGCTTGGCAGGGCTCCCTCTTATTAGCCATCAATAGAGATGCAACTACATCAACCTGTCACTGTAATATGGGACCCAAACATAAGTTTTCCATCCCACCCCCTCCCCCAACTTTCAATCTTTTCCCAAACAGCTCAAAAACTCCTAAGACAATGCTTAAAATGTTGCTCCAAAAGAGAATTTCTCCAGCAGCCTTCTTTCATTGAGTTTGTCATATCTACTTCTTCTTCTTTCCTTTCTTTGATACGTGAACCTGCATTTGACAAGAACAAATAACATGAATAAGCCTAAATAATCATATAGCAGGTTTCATTCATTAAGTCCAAATGATCACACGCCTCCAGACCCTCACATCTGAGATTCGAGAGCTTGCCACCTGTTATGCAAATCCAAATCAATTTATGTTGGCCAAAATTATGTATTAATACTTGGTAACATACCATCACAGCAGATCATTTCTTGTATCACTGATAGGTGGATGATGAACAAGGGTTACAAATCATTTCATGAATCAATTTATCATTGATAGTGGATATCATTTCTTATAAATTAATTTGTTGTAATCTCTCTATTATTGTACGCAACTTTCCCAACCAAGACGACTGCCAAACAACTAACAAAAAGAGCCGATAGAAGTCAGCATGACATAGTAACCATCATAAAACAAATCTCTGACAATGCAAATAGCTATAGCTGTCACATAAAATGTACCTGGATGAAAGGTTTTCATACAGAAGTAGTTCCAAACTCTCGAAAAGTTCACAAGCTGCATCTTTGTGAGATTCACCACCCCCTCCGTTCTCCCCAATGGCCTAACACAATTGTAAGGCCAACTGTGTCTGTAAAAGAGTGGTGGAAACGATTTGTTCAATGTGTAATTGTGGCATCTACCAATAAGGAAAACAACTATTTCTTTCTAGCTTAATTATTATTATTATTTACCGACCTTTGCAGGGGCTGTCATAAACTTCTCCAAGTCTATCAATTATAGGCTTCTATAGAAGGTTCAATATAGATATATCATCAAAGCGCTGAAGAAAATAAATGAACAAAGTCTTCTACGCAAGAAAATTTTAGCAGTAGCATTTAAAGTTGCAAATATATTGCAGATCACTAGATAGGCAAACATCTCTATGAGACTTCTTAGGTAGAAAAAACATATACACTAGAGAAAGTGCCTTTGGAAATTCTTAGATAGAAAAAATTTATTAAAGAACCATTTCTCTATTTTGATATGAAAAATATTTAAAAAAAAAAACACTTCCATATGACAAAAATGCCTTCAAAATTTTTTACAAAAATCCAACACAAAAAAAAAAAAAAAAAAAAAAAAAAATTATTCAAATAAATTTTTAAAATTTATACAAAAGAAAAAAGCAGGTCACAAGCAGGGAAAATGAAAGATTACAAAATTTTCCACTCCATGTCTGTTTAAAATTAAAAAAAAAAAAAAATTGTATGCACTCCTACTTTCCATTTCCAAATCTAGAATTACATTCGACTATACCAAGTGACAATGATACTAAGGTAAGTAATCAATAAAGTTCCACATAATTGACTTGCAATAGAAAAGTTTAGGCATTAATTTGGTGAGGAGAATACCTTTAGAAGTGCAACAAAATCAAAGAGATCGACGGAATGCAGCAAGTATGAATTCTAAGAGCCTCTTTCGAACCTACATGCAAAAATCACAATGTATTGTGAATGTTTCAAGTACAAAAATAATTTTCAACATTTAGATAACAACCGACAGAGACATGTCATGTAATACAAGTAGAGATAGAGAAAGAACAACAGAGAAAAGGGAGAGAAAGAATGAAGAATCAGATAGGGGATAGAAGCAGAGAAAAGAAGAGATGGTGAGAGTGTCTAATGGGAGAGGAGAGATACAAAAATTCTTAATAACTTCAATTATGCCAAAATCTGATAAAATTCATACACCAACACTATGTATATATAAGGCTAACGAATAAAAATAATATAGTATACTCAAAATAACTCCATGAACATATTTTAAACTCCTAAATAATCAAACTCCCAATTATTGCTGCCTTATTGATCTTCATCAATTCTCCCCACTAAGAAGAACTCCATCCGGAGATTGAAGAGAAAGATAACACTCAAATTATTCATAATTAAAGTATCAAAGTTTGTCCTTACAATCGGAGTTGGCATCAGTGATGAACCCAGAGCATATTATTCTTATATTCAAATCAAACAACTTACACTAAAATCAATAAACTGAATATTAATTTTTTTTTTAAAAAGAACCCAAAAAAAAAAAAAAACCACTCAAAAACCTAAACTCCTTGACATAAACTTTAGACACAAATTGAATTTTACTCAAATATTTACCAAATCAAGAAATTCTAAAATCTATATTTCAAAATTAAATTCTAAACTAAGTGTCTCAAATTTTCCACTCTGCCATTAGTTAAGTTTTTACAATTACATATTCAAGTAGCTCCCTTCTTTTATATGATTGAAATAAAGAGCAAATCCCAGTAATATTGCAATTCTAACAGCATATATATATATACATAACCGTCATACACAAAAAACAGAGAGAGAGAGAGAGAGAGATTTAGCAACCCACAGCTAAAATGTATATAATGTGTAGGGAAAAGAATAAGAAATGGAATCTTGCAAGCTGAAAATTGATAATAAAAAAGCATAAGTAAAAGTACCCATTCCCCTACTTCTCAATAATAAACAACTGTTTCCACCTCATAGGCAGAACCAAATAGTTTCCACCTCAATCAATCATCCTTATCAAAAAGGGGAGGATGTGGTTAGATCCCCAAAAGTAGTCCGCAGAGTGCTTTACAGTGAAACTATTAATTTTGTGATTATTTGTCAGCTAAAGTGAACTAACTTTGCATATTATTTAGTGGGATTTGGCACTTAATAGAATCCATAGGCATCCCTTCAAGCTTCATCCAGACATTGGCACCACTATCATGGTTGATTGTTCTCATGTAGATTAATCAGACATTGGTTCACAATAATTCCAAAAACACATGATTTAGACACAGAATTGCAAGAGTAGATTTGATTCTCAAAGCTACCAGTTCCAAGAAATTTCACAGAACATACACAGAATATACACAAAATTTATACACAAACACTCCCACTTATATATATATATATATATCTCAAAGGTCTGAAATCAGAAATCTAAGCTACCAGTTCCAAGAAATTTCACAGAACATACACAGAATATACACAGAAATTTATACACAAACACTCCCACTTATATATATATATATTATATCTCAAACAGGTCTGAACAATCAGAAATCTAAGCTCAAACAAAACAAATGCATATATACATGTCCGAAATTAAAGTTAAACTTACAGATTGAGAAGCCAAATCTCAAAACAGGTTTCATGTAGATTAATCGACCACAGATGAACTATGAGATCTAATGAAACAGAAAATCAGAAGAGAGAAGCAAGATCTGAGTTAGAATGTAAAAAATCTATTAAAAATAAAAAACCTAAACAAATTGAAACTCACAAAATCGAAAGAGACAACTGCAAATCTGGAGAATCAACCTTCGAATCTTCAAGAATCAACCTTCAAATCTTCGACAAACTTCATAGATCTGATGAAGAGATGAGTACAGAGAGCGGAGTGAGAGACACTTCGAGCGATGAGAGCGAGAGCGAGAGCGAGGTGAGAGTGAGAGTGAGAGTGGAGTGAATTCGAGCGAGTAAGAGTGAGAGGAAGAGAGTGACGGCGTCAGACATGCACCAGCAACAGCACTGTTTTGAAATTAATTAACACGGCATCTGTTGTTTTTATTTTTAATTGATCAGTGATGGCGTTTCAATGAAAACGCCAATAAAAAAAAACGTTGCTTATAGCTTGTTTCTATTATATTCTATCCCAATATTTATGAAAAGTCAAAAATTACAATAACGATAAGATAATTATCTGATATTAATCAAACGT